GGATTTAAATGAACCAGGCGTCGTGCGAACTTTAGATCTGGTTTAGTCCTGGTTTAGATCTAGTTTAGACCTGGTTTAGACCTGGTTTTAGACGTGTTTTAGATCTGGTTTTAGTCCTGGTTTTAGACCTGGTTTTAGACCTGTTTTAGATCTGGTTTTAGACCTGTTTGAGACCTGGTTTAGATCTGGTTTAGATCTGTTTTGTTTTAGTCCTGGTTTAGACCTGGTTTAGACCTGGTTTGTTTTCCTGGTTTAGACCTGGTTTAGTCCTGGTTTTAGTCCTGTTTAGACCTGGTTTAGTCCTGGTTTAGTCTGGTTTTAGTCCTGGTTTAGACCTGGTTTAGTCCTGTTTAGTCCTGGTTAGTCCTGGTTTAGACCTGGTTTAGTCTGGTTTAGTCCTGGTTTAGACCTGGTTGGTTTAGTCTGGTTTTAGTCCTGGTTTTTAGTCCTGGTTTAGTGGTTTAGTCCTGGTTTAGTGGTTTAGTCCTGGTTTAGTCCTGGTTTAGTCCTGTTAGTCCTGGTTTAGACCTGGTTTAGACCTGGTTTAGACCTGGTTTAGTCCTGGTTTAGTCCTGGTTCAGTCCTGTTTTTAGTCCTGGTTTTTGTCCTGGTTTAGTCCTGGTTTTAGTCCTGGTTTAGTCCTGGTTTAGTGGTTTAGACCTGTTTAGTTGTTTAGTCCTGGTTTTAGTTTAACCTGGTTTAGTCCTGTTTAGTTGGTTAGTCCTGGTTGTTTACCTAGACCTTTAGTCCTGGTTTCCTGGTTTAGTTTAGTCCTGGTTAGACCTGGTTTAGTCCTGGTTTAGTCCTGGTTTAGGCCTGGTTTAGTCCTGGTTTAGATCCTGGTTTAGTCCTGGTTTAGTCCTGGTTTAGTCCTGGTTTAGTCCTGGTTTAGACCTGGTTTAGTCCTGGTTTAGTCCTGGTTTAGTCCTGGTTTAGTCCTGGTTTTAGTCCTGGTTTAGACCTGGTTTAGTCTGGTTTAGTCCTGGTTTAGTCCTGGTTTAGTCCTGGTTTAGACCTGGTTTAGACCTGGTTTAGTCCTGGTTTAGTCCTGGTTTAGTCCTGGTTTAGTCCTGGTTTAGACCTGGTTTAGTCCTGGTTTAGACCTGGTTTAGTCCTGGTTTAGTCCTGGTTTAGTCCTGGTTCAGTCCATTATCTGTTTTTTTCCATTCTTCATTTCAACACAAAAGCAAAAACTGAAAAAACAAATCATTTCCGTTTTTTCATTTTGGTTCTGGAGACAAATAATGAAGAATATCGCTTTTTTTCTTTTTTTTGGTTTTATTTTGAAAAACGAATACACAGATTTACACAGACAAATAAATAATCAAGTGCGAATGTTAAACTTGGATTTAAATGAACCAGGCGTCGTGCGAACGAACATAACACGGCTGTTTTAAAGTCCAGAAAACGAATTTAAAACCCGAGAGTCAGAGAAATGTTTTAATAACTCGGCCGTTTGTTCATCTTCTCCCGTCCCGCCCGCTTTTGTCTCCAACAGTGTCGGGAAGGTGACTTTTAAAATGTAATCCCCTACAGATTACAGATTACATACCCCAAAATGTAGTTTGTAACGTAATCCATTAAATGACTTAAAGTGAGTAATGTAATCTGATTACTTTGGATTACTTGATTTGCTTTAGAGAAGCAAAGACGAGGAAATCGTCACATAAGATGTTTTGTCTGATAAAAGAAAATAAAAAGTCCAGATTTTACTGAACCAAATTAAAAATATTATTGATAGTTTAGACGTGGTTTAGTCCTGGTTTAGACCTGGTTTAGACCTGGTTTAGATCCTGGTTTAGTCCTGGTTTTAGACCTGGTTTTAGACCTGGTTTTAGTCCTGGTTTAGACCTGGTTTTTAGACCTGTTTTAGACCTGGTTTTAGACCTGGTTTTTAGTCCTGGTTTAGACTTTTAGTCTGTTTAGACCTGGTTTTAGACTGGTTTTAGACCTGGTTTTAGTCCTGGTTTAGTCCTGGTTTTAGACCTGGTTTTAGACCTGTTTTAGCCCAGGTTTAGATCTGCTTTAGATCTAGTTTAGACCTGGTTTTAGTCCTGGTTTAGTCCTGGTTTTAGACCTGGTTTTAGACCTGTTTTAGCCCTGGTTTAGATCTGCTTTAGATCTAGTTTAGATCTGGTTTTAGTCCTGGTTTAGGCCTGGTTTTCGACCTGTTTTCAACCTGGTTTTAGTTCTAGTTTAGTCCTGGTTTAGACCTGGTTTAGATCTAGTTTAGACCTGGTTTTAGTCCTGGTTTAGTCCTGGTTCTGCCCAAAATGTGAAAACAGGAAAATCCCTCTGTGTAATCCATTTATTTCAACAAAGTAACTGTAATCCAATTACCACTCCCTGAAACAGTAACTGTAACTGAATACAGTTACTCATAATTTGTA